TTATATCCTGACTAACTCTTTCTTTGACTAACTCTTTCCCTCACTAACTCTTTCTTTGACTAACTCTTTCCCTCACTAACTCTTTCTTTGACTAACTCTTTCCTTGACTAACTCTTTCTTTGACTAACTCTTTCCCTCACTAACTCTTTCTTTGACTAACTCTTTCCCTCACTAACTCTTTCTTTGACTAACTCTTTCCCTCACTAACTCTTTCTTTCTTTGACTAACTCTTTCCCTCACTAACTCTTTCTTTGACTAACTCTTTCCCTCACTAACTCTTTCTTTGACTAACTCTTTCCCTGACGAACTCTTTCTTTGCTAACTCTTTCTTTGACTAAGTCTTTCCCTGACATTCTAAAAGTCCGTAACACGGAAGTTTCTCCCCCTAAACTTCCTTTGACTATATATATACTATATATACTATATACACTATATCTACAATATATACTATATATACTATATATACTATAAATACTCTCAATACTATATATATATATACTATATATATACTATATATATACTCTATATACTCTATATACTATATATACTATATATACTATATTTACTAAATATACTATAAATACTATATATATATACTATATATATACACGCCATATAAATACTATATATATATATTTAAATACTATATATATACTATATATATATATATGGTCCCGTGTCCTGTGTTCCCACCCCCCCATCTCATGGGGGGGTATGATGCCCTTTGCATACATGCATATATGCAAACATGCATACATGCATACATACATAGATACATACATACATAGACACATACATACATATATACATACTTACATGCATACATGCATGCATGCATACATGCATGCATGCATGCAGGCATACATACATTACATTACATTGCATTTCATCACATTATATTACCTTACATTACATTACATCACATCACATTACATCACATTACATTACATTACATTACATACATACACACACACAAACACCCACCAGCAAAACCACCACCACCCCACCACCCCCACAGGCCACAGGGGGGGGGAACCAGAAGAACCAGACGAGACTGTCCACCCATACCACACACGCCGACATACATACATGCATGCATACATACATACATACATACATCCATGCATACATACATCCATGCATACATGCATGCATACATACATACATACACACCCAGCAGCAAAACCACCACCACCCCACCACCCCCACAGGCCACAAGGGGGGGGGGAACCAGAAGAACCAGACGAGACTGTCCACCCATACCACACATGCAGACATAAAACATGCATACATACATGCATACATGCATACATACATCCATGCATACATACATCCATGCATCCATGCATCCATGTATCCATGCATCCATGCATACATGCATACATGCATACATCCATGCATCCATGCATCCATGCATCCATACATACATACACACCCACCAGCAAAACCACCACCACCACCCCACCACCCCCATAGGCCACAGGGGGGTACCAGAAGAACCAGACGATACTGTCCACCCATACCCATTGGTGGGGGGGGGGCTGACCAACGCTGCACCATATATAATATATATACTATACATACTATAGGAATTTATATACTATATATACTATATATACTATATTTACTATATATAGTATATATATACTATATATATATACTATATATACTTTATATGCTATATATACTTTATTTGCTATATATACTATATTTACTATATACATATATACATATATACATATCTACATTTCTACATATCTACATATCTACATATCTACATATCTACATATCTACATATCTACATATATACATAAATACATATCTACATATATACATATACACATATTTACATATATACATTTATTTTCCTCTATACATATATACATATATACATATATACATATACACATATATACATATATACATATACACGTTTTTACGTATATACGTTTATACATATATACATATATACATAAATGCATGTATACATATATACACATATACATATAGACATAGACATATACAGATATACAGATATACCTATATACATCTATACATCTTTACATATATACATATATACATATATACATATATTTACCCACCCAACTCCCACAGCCACAGGGAGGAGGGAGGAACCATGACCATGGGGGGGGAGGGGGGGGTCCCGGAACCTGGAACATATATAATTGTATAAGAATATATATATTTATATATATATATATTTATATATATATATGGTCACCCCCCTACGACCCCCCGACATGCTGTTTGTACTGGTAAAATAAAATGGTAAAACCAGTTTTTTTTTAATGGTATATTACAGGTAACTGGAAATCAAATTAATTGTTTAATAAAAGTATTGTGGAGGTAGAGCAAAGGTACATTAAAGATATTTTAATGGCCTATAAATTGGTATGTTAAAGGTGTATTAGATTGTATATTAAAATTAAATTGAAGGTCTATTAAAGATATTTTCTGGTCAATAACATGGTATACTGAATGTAAATTGCAGATAAACCAAAAATATATTCTTTGTATATTACATGGTATGCTAAAGACAAATTCAATGGTACATTAAAGGTACATTAAATGGTACAATACAGGCATTTTGCAGGTAGACAAAATTTTGTGTTTGGCCTCAAGACATCAGTGAATGATACCAAAGTGATTTTCAAATATAAATATATGTATATTTTTGATATATAAGTATCAATACTAAAGTATATCCTGCATCTGCTTCCATTTTCCACCCATCTCTGTATATTGAATGTTCTTGGCAAGCAACCACAAAATCAATGTTTATACTGTCGCGATCCTCTAACAGTTGCACTTTGCAAACATACTATGGGAATTCGCTGACCTGGAGGGTGGGTATGTTGTGGGTTGGGGGGGGTCGTGAGGGGGGGGGCTGAGCATATACATATGTATATATATATATATATAAAGTAATATATATCCATGTCCCAAAGGCAGTTGGGATTGTCACCTGAAGATTCCTCCACAACAAGTCCATGTTTCCAGCATGTTGGAAGCTTGGACGTGGATTCGGGAAGATGACCGATTTTCAGCCTTAAACGGATGTGGATTCGACCATGGCAGGACAGCTTGTATGCTAAGAGCACCTGTATGATTGTAAGCCTATCTGCCTATCTCCTTCCTTTTCCATTGGATTTTTGCCTTTGGCACCATAGGATGTGTACTCTGTGTACTCTGTGTACCTTGTAGATGAGTCAAAATTCTCCTGACAATGAGATGGCTGTACAATGATTTGGTGGAATATCATCTGACGGCCACCATTAGCGCAGCCAGGGGCTCAAGACGATTTCCCCTGGTTTTGCCATGTTTCGCCTCATCCGGTTTCACTAAGTTTCAGGCCGCAGATCTGCAACTTGCAGATTGACTCGACTCATGACTGACTCCTCGTTGAAGGTGATCGCAGAGACCTTCCTCATCGGGGGTGGGTACATTCTCACAAGCGCCTGCTTGCTTAACTTCAACAAATATTTGATGAATGGCCGCTTTCCGTATGCAAAGGTTTTTACAACCTTTCATATGATTATGGCTACCCTACTTTCACTGCTGCTTTACAAATTTGCTCCTTCCCTGTATCCAAGCATGGACAAAGCGAGAGCAAACTGGAAAGCTGTCTTGAAGTTCATGGTGCCGTTGGGATGTCTTTTTGCAATGAATTTGTACCTCTCAAACAAAGCACTTCAATATTGCACTCTGTCATTTGTGCAGTTCTGCAAAGAAGGGAATGTGGCACTGATGTTCGCATTGGCCTGCTTAATAGGGCTGCAAGCCTTCACTTGGTACAAGGCACGCCCAAAACGAGTGTCAGAAGTCAAGTCGCATGCAACTTCTAAGAGGATACAAAACACAATACACATCAATATAAAAAATTACAGCAACTCTGATTTTTGTAATTATTTTGATTATTTTCCGAGACCCCATAGGATTCAAAAATAGGATTTAAAACTAAAGAAATAAATGCAGGCTACATATGTATATATATATATATATTCCAAGCTTAAATCCGCCCCTTCACCACGAATAAATAAAGCAATGAAAAAGTCATCAAAAATGAGAGCTCAATCACTTGTTTGTTATTACATTTGTTTTCTTAATCAGAGAACTTTATTTCTATTAAACAATGTGGTCACACTTGGGGTTGTTACGGTAAGGAGTAAGGCTGGGTGGATCGAAGGTGGGCGGATACGTGTTGATGATGGTGGTGATGGTGCTGTTGTGTGGTGCAGTGCAGTGCGGTGTGGTGCGCGGTGATGGCGATATGATGTCGGTGGATGGGGGAGTTGTGGCGTGTGTTCCAGCTAGTAACAGGCTTGTAGTCCATGTACAGCCCATATCAAACCAGAGATGTTCCAAAAAAAACTTGTAAGCAATATGGGTACTGCCCATTAACTCCTTAGTCCGTTGCTGCCTTGCTGTGGCAATTTTTGATTGGTGTACCATAGAACCCGGTTCCATCCCATGGTTTCGTAGTGAGGCCAAATCAAACATTCAAATTTGCATGTTGCGGGAGGTGGCAAACCTGTTGCCTCTCTAATTATGTTCAAAATTTGTGCGAAGGTGCTGCGTGATATGAAACTGTCCCGGCTCGTATTGTCCTGCGGCGGCAATAGACAATTTTAGACAGTTGGGTTTTGCTGGAGTTTCTTGATTTTGGTTTTGTGATGACAAAGCTGCTGGGCACACAACTTCGTGATTTCACACCAACGATTCCGTCGATGTGTCGTACATTCATTTTGGGCAGGCCGCTGGACGGGGACCCGGCCAACCTGACTGATGTTTAGATTTGCGCGCACAGATTTTTCAGGTTGTTCCGAATACGTGTAGTCAAGCCCTGAGCTTGTTACAAACGATTTAGATAATGAGGTTTGAGGTTTGATGATGTTTCATTATTTTGCATGCAATCGCGCACGTAGGTTTTATGTGTCTTGCACACCGTTAGCGTTGTCTCGGCCACGCACCCAAATCCTGCACACTGTTTGAATAGCCAGTGTTTCTTTGAACATCGGGTATCCCGAAATCCGATTGATGATTCTGTTTGCCATTTAAATGCCATTTCGTGGCTATATTGTGCACCGTATATAAACCCCATTTTCATTCACAATATACGCGCACGCGCACACACACACACACTTGCTCAGAACAATCTTTGCGAATTCTGATGTGGAATGCATCTTACGTGCCAAAACACCCCAATTATACCTGACAGGAATGGGTCGGTGAAAAGGCCCGAGAAAGAATCACGAAGATACTATCGCCATTTGCTAGATGCAAAGAGTTGGAAGCTGACCCTTGTCAAATGAGAAATGCAGATTGCGACAACAGTGTAGTAAAAACAGGAAACCCTCCAAATAATCGACATGCCGGTTCTTGAGAAATTCAAATTGCAGGTATGCTGGGTTGATCAGACCCAGTACCCCATGATTGTGGTAGCTTCGTTGAGTGCTGTCCCACAATCATGCCGCACTCCCCTGCAGTATAGTAAACTTGAATTCAACAGGTAGAAGTTTTACATCTATTCAGATGTTTCACACACACACACACGCATTGTGGGGCTTTGCACACCGGCGATACCCCAAGGGTTGCTGTTGTTGCCCAGAATGTTGCCCGCTTGCTTTGTTGTTGTTGTTGTTGTGGTTGTTGTCGTTGTCGTTGTGCTACCCGTGCAGCTCTTTTATCAGTCTCCTAGTGGCAAAAAATCGTCCACAGGTGGTATTTCCACGTTTTTTTGAAACTCCCGGAGCAAACACACACTGTAAACACCGAAGTCTTTTGCGGCGCGGAAACCCAAAAGCATGGTATGTACGAACGTTTTCTTTTGCCACTGTTAATAAGATCGCCGTATTTACATTTTTTTGCAAACGCCGAGCAAAAACACTGGTATTTCAGCATGTTGCAAGAAGTATTTCTTGGGTGGAGAGGGTGAGGTAGCTATCCGATCTAAGCTATCAAGCTATGACATGACATGGAACGCCTCAGAGCGCAGCACCTTTTATTTAATTGCCTTCGGCAAGCCCGCCGGCCATAGAGAGGTGGCCCCAAGGGAGTTTGATGTGCATTCTAGGTGCAAGCTCGCGAGAGAGCAGAAGAGAAAAGAAGGAGAAGAATAAGAATAAGAAGAATAAGAAGGGAAGACGAAGGCAAAGCCGTAAAACGGAAGCGGCTTGTGTAGCATGGTTTGCTGAAACAACCTATTGACCGTATACCAAATTAGTACCGCCCCCGGCAAAGTAGCGCCAGGTACTATGTATGAGCCTCTGGCTTGACAGCAGACCGCTGCATGGAAAGAGGCAGGGGAAAGAGATTGCCCCAAGGGAGGTTGACGTGCACGCTAGGTGGAAGCCTGAGAGAAGAAGAGACGAAGACAGAGCCGTAGATCAGAAGCAGCTTGAGTAGCAAGTGCGCGCTTGAACAACCAATGGAACGCATACCAAATGAGTACTGGTAGATCAGTACCGTGTGCCTCCAGTGACGAGTACCTGTAGAAGACGGTAATGCTGTAGGTAATGTCATTAGCTACCGGCACTACCAGTGTAGTACTTGGGGAAGAAGGGAGGAAGGAGTAGAGGAGTAGAGGAGTCGGAGTAGGCATCGGAGTAGGCGTATATTGCTGAGTCAAACCCTTAAGTCAACACAGGTCAAGCACTTTAAATGATTCCCTTGAAAAGGAGCGATGCATCTCTTTGAAGTGAGTACTCCCTTCAGCAGGTGCATTTCTTTTAAAGTGGTAGAGCATCCCATTGAAGTAGGACATGTTCTAGTCGACTTCTATGTCAAACATGAACCCTCTTGCACGTGCAGTGCCCTTTTCACAATATGCTTTCTCAAATGAAGAACACATGGTAAGTGTAAGCATGGAAAGTATGCCTTTCACAATTGCATACCATTTCTCTAAATGCATAATGTTATATTCTTCCAAGACAGCGAACCATATTTTGAGAATAATGCCATTTGATGTAGGCAGCTCTCCTCTTGAAAAATATTGCAATTTGAAGAACGCGCATCCTTAAATTCAAAACAAAATGCAAAATTGTTTGAACATATGGAATGCTGTATGCATGTAGCACTCTTTTGAAACCTTGAAGAATCTGTTGCATTATTTTGTGCAACATCCCCTTGATATGAGTGAGATATTTGATTACACGAATACATTATTGTTGGTTAGTATTGCAAACATTTCTTTAAGTGAAAGTTGTCTAAATGAAGGCTGGACTGATCTGACCAAAAGGAAGAGTACACATGTCACACAAAAACAATCCAGTTTTGCAAGAATGCTGCTTCTTCACAAGCTACAACTACAATTACAGCTACACTACATTGCACGAAGCTACAGCTACGAATACAACAACAACTACAACTACAACTACACCACATTACACAACACTTCTTGGCGCCGTTGGCATGCTAGCCATGTCGGGGAAACGCTGATGGGTGAGTCCTCAGGAAAGTAGAGATGCCTCATTGCAGATAGTAAGAGCTTCGAACCCACCCGCGAAAAAATGGTTTAAGTGTGGACGTCAAAAGCGGGAATTATGTCAAATTACAATTTAGAAGTTCTGGAACACATCCTTGCGAATGCTAAGCTAAAGTTCCGGAAAGCAAAGAACCTCGCCACCCCGCAGTGGACACCAGCAAAATGTTCAGGTGGACTGGGGCACCTGAGGCGTTAGGATATGTTGTTGTGATGGAGAATCGAGGGAGATGGGCGACTTTGAAGCAGGTTGGTGGTTCGAATCCGCTTGCCATGTAGATAGTGTTGCGATGGTTGCGGAAAAGTTGTTTTGGGCGGAGACGTGGGTAGTGAATGGCTGGGTAGGGGCCAGCAAGGAATGTCAGGTAAAATGCCAGAAAGGATGTCAGGCAGAATGCCAGATGAAACGTCCGATATTCTGTCAATAGAATGCCAGCTCAAGTGCCAGAAAGAATGCCGCATAAAACGTCAGACAGAATGCCACAAAAAATGTCAGGTAGAACCCAAATTTATGTCAGATAGAATGCCGGATAGAATGCCAGCTCAAGTGCCAGAAAGAATGTCGCATAAAATGCCGGACAGAATGCCACATAGAATGTCAGGTAGAATCCCAAAAAAATATGTAGATAGAATGCCAGATAGAATGCCAGCTCAAGTGCCAGAAAGAATGACACATAGAACGTCAGACAGAATACCACGTAAAATGTCAGGTAGAATGCCAACATTTATGTCAGATAGAATGCTAGCTCAAGTGCCAAAAAGAAAGCCGCAAAAAACGTCAGACAGAATGCCGGATAGAATGTTGGAATATATGTCAGATAGAATGTCAGGTGTCAGGTGGTAGGGGCCACTTGATGAAAGTAATAAGTTGGAGCTTACCATTGGTTGCTAGGCGCCTGACAGAGCAGACAGAGATTGAACACCTTTGGAATGCCATAGCCATCGTCGTTCGATGTCATTTGTGCATATCTGTGTGGTATCGAATTGTGGCGGGACTTGTTTTCGAACATGTGCCTGAAATAGACCTCAAAAGCAGTCAGGCAGCTCTGCATTGTTGCGTTAATCAATATTCGACAGGCTGAAGAATTCATCGAACCCATCCAGTAAGTTCACATGTTGCAGAAAGCAGCTGTGAGACCCAAATTTGAAGGGGCATTCAAAGCTCACTTGGCCCTCATAGATGTGACTTGGCCCTCATTATTGCAACACTATGGTTTTAAAATGAGCCATGCCTCCCACTGTAGCCTTTCATCGGAAAATTCTGATTAAGTGCAGGATTCTCTGGATCAAGCCTCGGACCGAAGCAGACCGACTGCAATGGCTGAGGAGAGGGTAAAGCATCATGTGGAACTGTGGAACCCTTCGAAAGCCGTCAGGCAGATCTCGCCAGATTTTATTTAAACTGCATTGCTAGTGCATTCAATAATACTGCACAGCATGAAGTGCAGCGCATTGCCTGTTTCCTCTTTTGCAAGGCGCTAACTGGAAGAATTGTGCACATTTGGATAATGGTGATGCTTTAGTCCCAGACCTTTTGCTGCTTGTTGTATTGATCAATATTCGAAAGGCTGAAGAATTTATCAAATGCATCCAGTCAAGTCACATGTTCCAGAAAGCAGCTGTGAGGTCAACATTGCAGACGTGTTCAGAGCTCACCTGGCTAAAATAGATGCGATGATTCGCGAATGTGAGGAAGCTGCCGGGGCCCCAACATCCCCAGCATGGTGTGAAGTTGTTGAAGCATGCATGATTGTCGAGTCAATGCTAGAAATGTTATGTCTGTTTCTTCGGTATGCTACTGTGTGTTCTTTTGGCTTTCATTATTCCAGGATATTCCAGGGCTGTTCAATCCATGGCAGTTCTCTACCAGGAATGGCTCACTATGCTTTCAGGGGCAAGAGATGGACCATTTGGCTCAAATGGTAACCACCCTCAAGGAAGGGTGGGAAGCAAATGGCTTTCATTGAAGCGAAAGCATCAACCTTGAACAACACCTGCTTGCATTTTTTGGCGGTCTGCTCGGTTCGAAAATGCCCCCCGCCCCCCGGCTGAGGCTGTACCAGTCTCACAGATCTGTCCGTTTGTATCCCTCCCTGCTACAAGCTATCAAGCCTCGGCACCTCGGTGCGGACCGATTTTTTCGCAGGCTACTACCTCGAAAAACGTTTGCAAAAATCACAGGATTGTTTTTTGACCCAGTGTTTTGATATGATCGGGTGTGGACCGCCGTGACAAATTAAGATAGTCAAAAACAAAATGTATAAAGTTCCGTGTTTTTTTGATGCTTTGGATATATGCGAGGTGTGGGCAAATATTTTGCAATCGAAGAACATTATTATTTGCTTTTGATTTGTCCATTGGATGGGTCTGAAAAGGGACACCCCAGAATCCCATAGTTAATCATCATGAATCATTTTCTTTCCCAATTAAATTCATCATTTTGGGAATATGCCACATTTTCAGACACACCTGTGTAAACATCATGCAAGCGGTTTTATG